AGATCGTGCCACTGCACTCCAGCCTGGGTGAGAGGCCAAGACTCCGTCTCAAAAAAAAAAAAAAAAAAAGGCCCCTGCTTTAGACCACACAACCTCCCCTATGGCAGTGCTTTTAAAAAAGGAGAATGGGCCAGGCACGGTGGCTCATGCCTGCAATCCCAGCACTTTGGGAGGCCAAGGTGGGTGGATCACGAGGTCAGGAGATCGAGACCATCCTGGCCAACACAGTGAAACCCCATCTCTACTAAAACTACAAAAAAATTAGCCGGGCATGGTGGCGTGCACTTGTAATCCCAGCTACTTGGGAGGCCAAAGCAGGAGAATCGCCTGAACTGGGGAGGTGGAGGTTGCAGTGAGCCAAGATAGCGCCACTGCACTCCAGTCCGGGTGACAGAGTGAGACTCCATTGCAAAAAAAAAAAAAAAAAAAAAAAAAAGGCAGAGAATAAAGTTTCCATCCATTCCTACTGATCCCCAGCCCTGGGAGTCCCACTGAGTGGCTACAACTGGTAGACAGAATGCACCTCTCTCCTTACCCTCCCCAAGAGGCCAGCTTTCAGCTGTGCCCTCTTCAAAAACAGATTTATTTTCCTTCTACGAGTTTCTAGACTTCAAAAGCCAGCTGAAATGCAGCCTCTTGCATGTTATTTTCTCATGCTATTTTTAAAGTTACACTCTTTTTAGATTTGGGAGGAGAGACCACTGGCACCCTGCCCTGAGTACGGAGCCTCACCGTCCCGGGCCTCGTGAAGTCCACACTGTGTGCCAGGCTCTGTCGCATCTGGTTACTGAACAGGCGGACACAGACACTCTGCAGGTACTCAGGGGTGATCTGCAAGGAGGACACAAAGACAACTGATGATGGCATGAAACTCACCGAGGGGCACCCGAGCCATGCTGGCAATTATTAGAGTGGCCTCACAACAGCTTTCTGTAAGGCACGATGATGAGGAATATAAGCTAGAAAAATAATCATTTGCTTTAGCATCAGAGCTCTTGGGAGGAGTAAAAGCACTGGTCCTAATAGAACAATGTGCTAACACACAACAGGCGTGCTCATGAGACAACAAACTGCAAATTATGTAACTCTACTCCAGGTATCTCCACTGCAGAATAAACAGATCTCAAACCCTTTTGGTAAATTCATGGAATAAAGTCACTGGGTGACTATAACGTGGGGGAAAGAGAGCCAGGCTTCAAATCCGAAGGTCAGGGCTCAAGTACTGGACTCGAGAAGACCAATAGCTCTGCCTCTGCTTTCCACACCTTTATGGAAACAGCTGCCGTGAGGGGGTAAATAAGGTCACAGATATGCCTAACACATGACAGGTGGCTCCGCCAGTGCTTGATGACTGAATGATGGAGACGCTTTTAATCAACTATCCAGTGCTTGACAACGTGAGGCTGAGCTGCTGTGGCCATCAACGCTGCTGGCTTCGCACTCTCCTTCAGCATCTCTTGTGCCGCTCTCACGAGCTACGAGAATTCAGGATTGACATACATCAAAGATGTTAGAATTTTTTTCACCTCTTATATTTTCTTTTTAGAAAAGAAAGAGAGAGCTGGTGCCTCTCTCACCAGCTACAAGAGTTCAGGATTGACACACCACATCGAAAGTCTTGGAATTGTTTTCATCTCATATATTTTCTTTTAAGAAAAAAATGTATGCTCATTTCAATGTACAAGTACCACAGCCCCTCCTGAATCCTACCATTCCCCAAAAAACCAATCCCTGCGGGAAACAACTATTAAAAAGTGTACACCCTTCCAAAACTTTTTCTAGGAATGACGGTTGGAAAAGAACCTCCTCTTCTGCAGCTTCTCGATTCCATCTGGGGGAATTTCCATGTGGCAGCAGAAGCAGCTGCTCTCCCACCCCTGCTCATCCACTTGCAGAGGAGAAAGGCCATCCCCCCAGGCTGTGTGGGAAGCAGGGCTACTCCACCCCTGGGGTGTTGGAAAGGGCTGGGCTCTTTTCTCTCCTCCTGGGCCTCCTGCCTATCTGCTAGAAACTTCTGGTCTGCTTCAGCCACATAAAAGGCTCCGTCCATCCTGTGGCAGGTGTCTGTCATCCCTTTTTACATAGCTACATGTGAAGTGACTTGGAGAAAAAGGGACCCCATCCCAGGGCTAGACCTGCTACATTATCCTGAGTCCATTCCCTCTGAATTCCTTTAGTAAATTTCTATAGTATTAAAATTTAAACATTCCTTTTTCAGGCCTGGCGTAGTGGCTCATGCCTGTAATTCCAGCATTTTGGGAGGCTGGGGTAGGTGGATCACTTGAGCTCAGGAGTTTGAGACCTGCATGGTTAACACAGTGAAATACTATCTCTAATAAAAATGAAATAAAAATTAGCCAGGCATGGTGGCACACACCTGTAGTCCCAGCTACTCACAAGGCTGAGGTGAGGGGATGGCTTGAGCCTGGCAGATTGAGGCTGCAGTGAGCTGTGATCACGCCACTGCACTCCAGCCTGGGCAACAGAGTAAGACCCTGTCTCAAGCAAACAAACAAAAAACATACCTTTTCATCCTATAATTTTAACCTTTCTTTCTATACTTACTTCTTCCCTATAACTAGAAACATGTTCGCATATATTTCATATTAGAAACATATCTGCCCCATCTTCTACATCTTTTTTTTTTTTTTTTTTTATTTTCCCTTTTTTTTTTTTTTTTTTTTTTTTTTTTTTTTTTTGAGCTGGCGTTTTGCTCTTGTTGCCCAGGGTAGAGTGCAGTGGCGTGATCTCAACTCATCACAACCTCCGCCTCCCGAGTTCAAGTGATTCTCCTGCCTCAGCCTCCCGAGTAGCTGGGATTACAGGCAAGTGCCACTACGCCCAGCTAATTTTGTATTTTTAGTAGAGATGGGGTTTCTCTATATTGGTCAGGCTGGTCTTGAACTCCCGACCTCAGGTGATCCACCTGCCTTGGCCTCCCAAAGCGCTAGGATTATAGCCGTGAGCCACTGCGCCCGACCTACCCTAGATCTTCTTCTTCTTTTTCATCCTAGATCCTCGTCTATCAACCTCCTCTCAACAGCTTCTCTTTACAGCCAAGGTCCTTGAAAGAACTGCCTGTGGTTTGCCATCTCAACCCACCTTCACCTTTCAACACAATGTGACCAACTTTCTACCTGTGTTCCTCCATGGAAACTCGTGTGCCAAAGCTCACAACCAATGAACTTCTAAGTGTCAAAACCACTGGATGCTTTTCAGTCCTCTTCTTCTGGAGATTTCTGTGGCTTTTGAGATTTTGCATCAAACCCTCAGTCCTGAAACTGTTTGCTCCTTTAACTTCTGAAACTGCTAGCAGAACCATTTCTCTAACAAGCCAATCTCATCATGTCACTTTCTTGCTTAAAACATGAGAATGAGGAAAGAAAACGAATGGCTGAAAAAAATATATGTATACATATATATGGCTATAGCAAATAACAATATATGAAAATATACTCAGCCTCATACATAATTAAAGAAATCTAAATTGGCCAGGCGTGGTGGCTCATGCCTGTAATCTCAGCACTTTGGGAGGCTGAGGAGGACAGATCATAAGGTCAGTTCAAGACCAGCCTGATCAACATGGTGAAACCCTGTCTCTACTAAAAATACAAAAATTAGCTGGGCGTGGTGGTATGCGCCTGTAGTCCCAGCTACTTGGGAGGCTGAGGCAGGAGGATCGCTCGAACCCAGGAGGTGGAGGTTGTAGTGAGCCGAGATCGTGCCACTGCACTCCAGCCTGGGTGAGAGACCAAGACTCTGTCTCAAAAACAAAAAATAAATCTAAATTAAAATATGCAGAATGCCAAGTTTTACTTATCAAACTGACAAAGATTTCAAAGTTTACTCCAATTTAGTGCTGCCATGTGTGGAGACAGCTCCTCTCAGACACTATTGTGGAGTAGGCATTGTAGGCATTTTAGGACAAATAATTTGGCAACCTCTATCAAAACACTCATGCCCATATGTATCTTTGCCCTATCAGTTCCCATTTTAGAATTTTATCACGATGTACAGTATACACAAGGATGTTCACTGCAACATTTTTTGTTATAGCAAACAAAAAAACAAAAAATTTAAATGTTCATCACCAGAGCTCTGATAACAATTCACCTTTATAACGGAATCGTGTACAAGAATTAAAAATAATGAGGTGGGGCTGGGCAAGGTGGCTGACACCTGTAACCAAGCACTTTGGAGGCCAAGGTGGGTGGATCACCTGAGGTTGGGAGTTGAAGACCAGCCTGACCAACATGGCGAAACCCCATCTTAAAAAAATAATAATAATAATGAGGTGGATCTGGTCATGTGGAAACATTTCCAAGTTATATCAAAAGAGAAATAGCAAGTTTCAAAAGAGTAATGAATCATATGATCCAACTAAGTGTAGATATGCTGTACGCATGTGTGTACACATGCACACACACACATGCATATGCTGAGAAATGTTCTAAAATAATACACAAGACAATGTCAGTATTTTTTTTTTTTTTTCCTAAGATGGGGTTTCACCATGATGGCCAGGCTGGTCTCAACTCCTGACCTCAGGTGATCTACCCACCTCGGCCTCCCAAAGTGCTAGGATTATAGGCGTGAGCCACCGTGCCCGGCCCAATGTCAGTCTTGAATATCAATAAATAAGTGCATCCACAGCATTGTGGTGAAGGAACTTTTGCTCCTTTATACTATACACTTCTCTGAATTGTTTCAATTTTTTACCATGAGCACGTAGTTCTTTTACATTAAAAAGGCTAGTAAAGAGTCCAGCTTCCCTCCTCTAACTCATCTTTTTTTAAATTAAATTATTTATTTATTTTGAGATACAGTTTCACTCTGTCACCCAGGCTGCAGTGTGGTAGTGTGATCTTGGCTCACTGCAACCTCTGCCAGCCGAGTTCAAAAGATTCTCCTGCCTCAGCCTCCTGAGTAGCTGGGATCACAGGCATGCGCCACCAATCCCAGTGAATTTTTGTATTTTTAGTAGAGATGGGGTTTCGCCATGTTGGACAGGCTGGTCTCGAACTCCTGACCTCAGATGATCTGCCCGCCTTGACCTCTCAAAGTGCTAGAATTACAGATGTGAGACACCATGGCCAGCTTAATTTTACTTTTAATTTCTTTTTTTTTTTAGAGACAGAGGTCTCACCATGTTGCCTAGAATAGTCTCAAACTTCTGGCCTCAGGTGATCCTCCCACCTCAGCCTTTCAAAGTGCTGGGATTATAGGCGTGAGCCACTGTGCCTGGCCTGAATTATTTTTTATTAATGTAGTATGAACCTACAGTTACTTTAATTTTTAAAAAATCTGTATGTCCACAAATAGATTTTATTGTACTTTATAAAAAGTCCGGAACAAGACAAAGATGCCCATGATGACATTATTCAACAATATCCCATAGGCCATAGCCAATGTAAGATTAACTGTAAAAGCAAAACAAATATTATTGGATAACATGACTGTCAATCTAGAATACAGAAGAATCAATCAAAAAACCCAAGATTAATAGGATTCAGAAAGGCAGCTGAATACAAAACTAATATCAGAAAATCAGTGGCTTTCCTATACGACAGGGCATGTCCTCCTCATTTTTTTGCCACCACATATTTTTCTGTTGCCAGACAATTTATCCTTTGCCAACATTAGAGGCTGGGCACAATAGCTCACACCTGTAATCCCAGCATTTTGGGAGGCCAAGACAGGAGGATCACTTGAGCCCAGGTGTTCAAAATCAGCCTAGGCAACAAAGCAAGACCCTGACTCAATTTTTTGAAAAATATTTTTTTAAAAAAGGGCCAGGCGCAGCAGCTCATACCTGTAATCCCAGCACTTTGAGAGGTCGAGGCAGGTGGATCACCTGAGGTCAGGAGTTTGAGACCAGCCTGACCAACATGATGAAACCCGGTCTCTACTAAAAATACAAAATTAGCCAGGCATCATGGCTGATGTAATCCCGGCTACTCGGGAGGCTAAGGCAGGTGAATTGCTTGAACCGGGGAGGTGGAGGTTGCGGTGAGCCGAGATTGCGCCAATGCACTCCAGCCTGAGCAACAAGAGCGAAATCCAAAAAAAAAAAAAGAAGAAGAAGGTAGAGAAGTAAAGATATGGAGTTAGTGTGTTAAGAAAAATGGATAAAACACTGCAAGAGGCTTGTTAAAAACAACACAAAATGTCAGCTTCATCTCCTCCGTGCATATTAGCTTTTGGAAATAGAGCAGCAGGCACCACTGGCTTGGAATGGAGAGAGGCAGGTTCCATCTGCCATATCAACACAGTCCTTGCCCATGAGACCTCTTCATTGCCAAACAGACATACACACACAGGGATCTTCCTTACCATCTTGCCGCTGACTGTGGCCTCTAGAGAATCCACCAGCTCTGCTGTGACTCCAATGAGATTGTGGTAGTCCACCTGGATCTTATTGTACCGTTTGAGGTATGTCATTGACCTACGTTCAGCTTCAACCAGCTGCTGGTGGAGCTGATGCAACGTTTCTAGGAAGACAGTTAAACAAACAACATCAATAAAAACCCACAATATGAAAAATAATTGTCTTCTTCTCAAAGAACTACCATACTTACTGTCCGAATATTTTGTTGTAACAATAAAGTTGACACTATTTGTTTCACACTTACTTCTATTTTATGCCACATTTATTTACGTAGTGCTTTGTAACCATTGACTTAAAATTTCCTTTTCAGGAAGTTCAACTCAATCCTCACTGGGTTTCCCAAGAAAATCTATTCCTTTGACTGAACCTCATTTAATTTCTTTTAGTTCTTCTATGTCTAAGAAAATAAACATAGAAGGGCCGTGGTGGCTCATATCTGTAATCCCAACACTGGGAGGCCAAGGAGGGCAGATTACTTGAAGCCAGGAGTTGGAGAACAGCCTGGGCAACATGGTAAAACCCCGTTTCTACTAAAAAAATACAAAAATTTGCCAGGCATGGTGGTGCTCGCCTGTAATCCCAGCTGCTCAAGAGGCTGAGGCACAAGAATCACCTGAACCTGGGAGGCAGTGGTTACAGTGAGCCGAGATTGCGCCACTGGACTCCAGCCTGGGCAACTGGGCAACAGAGTAAGACTCTGTCCCCCAGCCCAAAAAAAAAAAAGAAAGAAAGAAAGGAAAAAGAAAATAAACACTTTATTCTAAATAAACTGAGCTCATAAAATGCCTGAATCAAACCTGTATTTTTTTCTGTTTTTCTACTATGTAGTTGTCTGGGAGACAATTCATATCTGCAGGACAGTTCTTTATTTTAAATAAAACTTTAGGCTGCTTGAAAAACATGCTCAATGCTAGGAAAAACAAGAATCCAGAAGGAGAAAAGATTCCATCATTCTGCCAGTTTGGTAAAGCATAAGACCACTCCCACCAGGCGTTAGAGCAAGCAGCTTGGAAGGCTCTAGGATTCTGTATTTGGAATCTCCCAGAGGGCAGCCCTGAAGACACTGAGGCCACGCCTTCCTAGTGGCAGCAGGAACAGGTGAATCCTCATTGGTGTTGGCACTTGTTTGCCTGTACCACCTTCCCTTTCTTGAAGGTCACATTTTGGACAAAAGGAGGTAACGCTACCCCCAAACTCAGAGTAACTCACTCTTGTCCTGATCCAACTATTGTATCATATTTGAAGTGTTCAAAATGAACAGGTTTCAAGGATATGAAGAGATATTTTAAAATTATGAAGACCTGGGCTCAAATCCCTACTCTACTTTTTTGTTGGGTAACCACAGACAAAATATTTAACTCTGTGATTCTCATTTCTTAACCTATAAAATGGGGGCAGTTATAATTACCTTGATGGGTTATTGTGAAGATTAAATTTAAAAAACACATTCAAAGTGTCTACCACAATGGCTGGCTCAGAGAAGGTGATCAATAGTGGTGGCTATCACTACTATTTTATTTCATGGAGAGGGGTGAAAGGCTTTGTAAATACATTTCTTTTTTTTTTTTTTTTTTTGAGACGGAGTTTCGTTCGTTACCCAGGCTGGAGTGCAATGGCGCGATCTCGGCTCACCGCAACCTCCGCCTCCTGGGTTCAGGCAATTCTCCTGCCCCAGCCTCCTGAGTCGCTGGGATTACAGGCACGCGCCACCATGCCCAGCTAATTTTTTGTAGTTTTAGTAGAGACGGGGTTTCACCATGTTGGCCAGGATGGTCTCCATCTCTTGACCTCGTGATCCACCCGCCTCGGCCTCCCACAGTGCTGGGATTACAGGCTTGAGCCACCGCGCCCGGCCTGTAAATACATTTCTATACAAGTAGGTAACTTTTGAAAGAGGCAGGAAAGTTCCATCCTAAAGCAGTGGCATGCAAGCTCAGAAATATATCAGAATCATCCACAAATATTCAACAAACTCCCCAAAGGCTCTGACGCACACCACAGGTTTGAGAAAGCCTAAGTTATCCATTCTTCCTAATTTTTGTCCTAAAAACCTACATTCAAATTGTATTTTAAACTTTCATGTTTCATTATTGTTTATGTATAGAACTAAAATATTTTTACTATTAAAACTCAAAATATCAATGATATTGAACTATTTATTATTATTCAACATCCACAAATCTCAGTATTGAAAGATAACTTTAAAAAGTCACCTGGCATAGGCCGGGAGCAGTGGCTCATACCTGTAATCCCGGCACTTTGGGAGGCCAAGGTGGGTGGATCACCTGAGATCAGGAGTTTGACTCCACCTGGCCAACATGGTGAAACCCCATCTCTACTAAAAATACAAAATTAGTTGGATGTGGTGGTGCATGCTTGTAATCCCAGCTACTTGGGAGGCTGAGGCAGGAGAATCTCTTGAACCTGGGAGGCAGAGGTTGCAGTGAGCCGAGATCGCACCATTGCACTCCAGCCTGGGCAATGAGTGTAAATCTCTGTCTCGAAAAAGAAAAAAAAAAATCACCTGACATGAATTTACATCCAGTACTTGAATACCCTGAGAATGTCACTGAAAATCATTTATCAAGACTCTCCTTAAACATTATTAGGGAAAAGGGGTCACTACCTTCTGACTCTTAGGATGTGTTAAATTTGTACTATGATTAAAGTTTTTCAGCTGAGCATGGTGGCTCACACCTGTAATCCCAACACTTGGGGAGGCTGAGGCAGGCAGATCACCTGAGGTCAGGAGTTTGACACCAGCCTGGCCAACATGGGGAAACCCCATCTCTATTAAACAGACAAAAATTAGCAGTGCATGGTGGTACACTTCTGTAATCCCAGCTACTTGGGAGGCTGAGGTAGGGGAATTGGTTTAACCGAGGAGGAGGAGGTTGCAGTGAGCCAAAATCACGCCACTGCACTCCAGGCTGGGCAACAAAGCCAGACTTCATCTCAAATCAAACAAAAAAATTTTTTAGGTGGGGTGTGGTGGCTCACACCTATAATCCCAGCACTTCGGGAGGCCAATGTAGGTGAATCGCTTGAAGCCAGGAGTTCAAGACCAGCTTGGCCAACATGGTGAAACCCCATCTCATACAAATTTAGCTGGACATAGTGGCATGCACCTGTAATCCCAGCTACTCGGGTGGCTGAGGCACTAGAATCGCTTGAACCCAGGAGCCAGAGGTTGCACTGAGCCAAGATCACACCTCTGTTCTCCAGCCTGAGCAATAGAGCCGTCTGAAAAAAGTAAATAAATACAAATAGTTTTTCATATATATATATATAGTTCAAAATTAGATAAGCTAAAACTTTCAATGTTGAAAATTCCATAGAATACTATTCATAATCCCATGTTGTGGTTAAGTATTGAAGAATATCTATGCAAGCTTTCTCAACACAGACCAAGTGACACATGATGAATCAAGTACCAAAACCCATTAGCTAGGCCCAATGACCTCCCAAATCACCAATGTGAATGTCCCCAAAGCAGTCCCTCTGTAAAGGAGACTGCCCAAAGGAACCCATCCCCCAAGAAGCTCATTCTGCAATTAACTAAACATAAGATTATCTGTGGAATTTTTGCCTTGGGAACCCAGAATCAGAATTTATTTTTTTTTTAATTTTTATTTATTTATTTATTTTTTTCAGAATCAGAATTTATGACAATTTCAAAGTGTGGCACATCTCAGGGATAAAAGGCTGCTACAGCCTATTGGAATGAGAGAAGGAGGCAATAGGACTGAAATGTTTGCAACCATTTTCAAATACAGTCAGGACACCATATCCATGGGTACTGCATCTACGGATTCAACAACCTCAAATTGAAAACATTTGGGGAGAAAAGCACCTGAGCTGAACAGATACAGACTTTTTTTCATGTCATTTTCACATCATAAACAAAACAGTATGACAACAATATACCCAGCATTTATACTGCATTAGGTATATGTACTACAGAGATGATTTTAATGTATATGGGAGGATGTGTGTAGGTTATATGCAAATAGTGGCTGGGCGCGGTGGCTCACACCTGTAATCCCAACACTTTGGGAGGCCGAGGCGGGTGGATCACTTGAGGTCAGGAGTTCGAAGCCAGCCTGGCCAACATGGTTAAACCCCATCTCTACTAAAAATACAAAAATTAGCCGGGTGTGGTGCTGGATGCCTGTAATGCCAGCTACTCAGGAGGCTGAGGCAGGAGAATTGCATGCACCCAGGAGGTGGAGGTTGCGGTGAGCTGAGATTGTGCCATTGCACTCCAGCCTGGGCAACAGGGTAAGAATCTGTCTCAAAAAAAAATAAATGGCCGGGCATGGTGGCTCACGCCTTTGGGAGGCTGAGGTGGGTGGATCACGAAGTCAAGGGATCGAGAACATCCTGGTCAACATGGTGAAACCTCGTCTCTACTAAAAATACAAAAAATTAGCTGGGCATGGTGGTGCGTGCCTATAGTCCCGGCTACTCAGGAGGCTGAGGCAGGAGAATTGCCTGAACCCAGGAGGCGGAGGTTGCAGTGAGCCAAGCTCGAGCCATTGCACTCCAGCTTGGGTAACAAGAGCAAAACTCCGTCTCAAAAATAAATAAATAAATAAATAAATAAATAAATAAATAAATAAAAATGGTTATATGCAAACAGCATGCCATTTTATATAAAGGACTTGAGCATCTGTGGATTTTGATTATCTGTGGGGGTCCTGGAAGCAATCCCTGTAGATACTGAGGGACGACTGTACGCTCTTTAGGAGAATAGCCTGCTACCCGGAGATATCACCCTGCAGATATCTTAACTAGCTACAAACAAGAACTGTCCATGACTAGAAGCTATTTGGGTGACAGCTCAAACACATCAACTTTATTTCAGATTATTAAACAGTACTTTCTATTTTCCCTGTCAAAAGTTTTATGAGACAAGAACAACTAAGCCAAGATGCCTTGCTATGCAAGACCTCAACTTCTTTTTTTTTTTTTGAGATGGAGTCTGGCTTTGTCACCCAAACTAGTGCAGTGGTGTGATCACAGCTCACTGCAACTCCTGGGCTCAAAGAATCCTTCCCTCTCAGCCTCCTGAATAGCTGAGAGTAGTTCAGGGCTGCATCACCACACTCGGTTATTTTATTTTATTTTATTTTTAGTTTTTGTAGCAATAGGGTCTCACATTGTTGGCCAGGCTGGTCGCAAACTCCTGGCCTCAAGCTGTTCTCCCACCTCAGCCTCCCACAGTGCCGGGATTACAGGCATGAACCACCATGCCTAGTGGCAAGACCTCAACATTTTTTTTTTTTTTTTTGAGATGGAGTTTCACTCGTTACCCAGGCTGGAGTGCAATGGCACGATCTCGGCTCACCGCAACCTCCGCCCCCTGGGTTCAGGCAATTCTCCTGCCTCAACCTCCTGAGTAGCTGGACTACAAGCACGTGCCACCATGCCCAGCTAATGTTTTGTATTTTCAGTAGAGACGGGGTTTCACCATGTTGACCAGGATGGTCTCGATCTCTTGACCTTGTGATCCACCTGCCTCGGTCTCCCAAAGTGCTGCGATTACAGGCTTGAGCCACTGTGCCCGGCAAGACCTCAAATTTTAATGGAGATGTCTTATTAGAACCTTCATATTACTTGAATAAACCGTCTTAGTCACGCCAGCGAAATTTATTGAGACTCTTCATATCCAAAACTACTGACATAAAAGTGATATAACTCTCTCCCCTGCCACTCAAGCTTTCTTTTTCAACCTTTCTGCTTCACTTAGGGTGCCGCATTTTTTTAAAGGGTAAATGGGACTTTAATTGGCTGCCTCAAGACAAAATGATCAACTTTTAAATATAGAATTGTTTTCCTCACCCACTATAAAAACCTAAAATTAACCACTCTATCTTTATAATGATATACTCTTTCCTCTTTGTATTCAGATAAAAATTGCCTCTTTGCTATTTCACTAATCAACAGATATTGGATGAAGAAAGTTAAAACATAACTTATGAATATGACATTATTTTTTTAAATGCTGTTTAGGGCTCTAAACTCCAGAAAAATGATCAATTGCTCATTTTCTAAAAGGGTTGAATCAATTCACACTAGAGGCTGGGCACAGTGGCTCACTCCTATAATCCCAGCACTTTGGGAGCCCAAGGCAGTCAGGTCACGAGGTCAAGAGATCGAGACCATCCTGGCCAACACAGTGAAGCCCGGTCTCTACTAAAAGTACAAAAATTAGCTGGGTGTGGTGGTGGACGCCTGTAGTCACAGCTACCCGGGAGGCTGAGGCAGGAGAATAGCTTGAACCCAGGAGGCAGAGGTTACAGTGAGCAGAATCGTGCCACTACACTCCAGCCTGGACAACAAGAGCGAGGCTCTATCTCAAAAAAAAAAAAAAAAAAAAAAAAAATTCATGCTAGAAAAGCCAAAGATACTATTTCTATATCCTTTTTAAGTAACTAGGTGAAAACAATAATCCAATGTTACTATATTGTCAGTCTAACTTTTTATTCTACGCAATATTTCAAATGTAATTCCTTTTGAGGGAAGTTTCTGCTGCAAGCACCTTTCTTGCCTTCTTTAAAAGCTTATGGCAATTTCCCTTTATCTATGAAAAATTCCTATCAAGACACACAGAACAACATCACTCAGCCGCTTCATTTAAAACAACGCGTGAGTCTAGAATTAAATTAAACTGGGGCATGTCTGTGCCTTTGGTTAATGCAGCCTTAGCTGCAGGATGAGGGGACAAGGGGACCAGGGGGTGACAAATGACTGTCATGCCTAGGCCCAAAATGCTAATCTCCAGTCTCCATAGCAACACCGCATTATAGCATTCACTCCACCACAGATGCACTTTACTTCTCAGACTCAAATCCACAGCCATTCTGCTTGGCTTTCAGAAAACTCATTAAAATCGATCCTAAAGAAGCCTTGAAAACTGGTCTCCTTACTGAAATTCCAACAATAAAAACCTGTAGAGAAACACAGCTCTTCTATTTGCATTCCCCTTCCCATGTTTATTTGACCTGCAAAACTGAGCCACTTATCAGATTGACAATAACGCTCTCAGAAGAAAGCTATGCTAAAAAAATGCAGTTTACGCTAGTGGGACATGAACTGCAGAAACTCAGGAACCAGAGAGAAGTTTCTCACCACTTCCCCCCACCACTGCCTGGGAGTCCAAAGGCCAGTTCAGAACAGGGACTTTGCCGATTCAACTAACAACTAAGGCAGTTCTCTGGGGCCCAGAGGTGCAGGTGTGATGGTGGTTTTAAAATGCCTGCAGTCTTTGACACACCCTCCTTCCCATCAAGAAGAGAAATGTAGGCCAGGTGGGGTGGCTCACACCTATAATCCCAGCACTTTAAGAGATCGAGGGGGGCAGATCATCTGAGGTCGGGAGATCAAGACCAGACTGACCAACATGGAGAAACCCCATCTCTACTAAAAATACAAAATTAGCCACGCGTGGTGGCACATGCCTGTAATCCCAGCTACTCGGGACGCTAAGCCCAGGACAATCGCTTGAACCCAGGAGGCAGAGGTTGCAGTGAGCGGAGATTGTGCCACTGCACTCCAGCCTGGGAAATGAGCGAAACTTCGTCTCAAAAAAAAAAAAAAAAAAAAAAAGAGAAATGTTATCTCCTTTCTCTGAAGGTGAGATGACCTTAGGAATTCACTTGCAAGAAACAGAATGCAGCAGAAATGACTGACTTCAGAAGCTGGGTTAGAAAAAGTGACACAGCTTCCCACCTGGCTCTCTCTGGGGACATTCACCCTGGGAACCCAGTCAACATGCCTGGAGGAAGCCCAGACCACGAGGAAAGGCCACACAAGTGTTCTCGTCAAGGGCCTCTGCTGAGATCCCAGGTGACAGCCAGCACCCACCACCACTCTACATGTTGAGTGCCTTGGAGCTGGCCCCACCCCACTTCACCTGACTGCACCGTGAGACCTGCTGTGGGGGAACAGCTTAACTGAACCCACAGCTCTCAGACCATGTAGGGTCGTCGTCACCACGTTAAGTGAATGTCATTGTTCTGTGCCACCAAGTCAGGATGGTCTATCAGGCAGCAATGGAACAGTGGACTGAGGCGCATTTCCAGGAGCTGCAGGGCAAGATCCAAAGGCCCCGCTGAAGATGCTGGCTGTGCTAAGGTGAGCAAACTGGCTTAGGACGCATCCTGGCCAAGGCCCGGGCCTCGATGAACACAGACAGCAGGCCTGCAGAGCTGACGACGTGACCTGGGACTCTTCTTCCACAAACTGTGCTGGGGGCAGGGCAACCTTGGGGAGCTCCAAGACTCAGGGCATTCCTGCAACCCTTGGAACAGTCTAGGTTGATCCTGTGGGGCCACATCTGTAGCCCTGCTCCTCCATGAAGGGTCAGCAGGGCCTGTCCCCTCTGAGTGACAGAAGGGTCAGCATGGCTGGCAGAACCAGTCGCACTCTTAGAACGGCGGAGATTGGGATACTCAAGGCTACCAAGAGGAAAAACAAGCCACCAAAGACTCCTCAAAGGCTGATGCTACCAAAGCCATCTTGAGTGACAAAACCAAACCCAAGCTCTCCCTGAGGTTGACAAACCCCACTGTTCATTTGCCAACTCCCTGGTGAGCAAAGAGCTAAATAATTTACCGATTAATGCTTCCTTTTTTAAAAAGGGTTTCACTCCCCCCCGCCCCCAAAAAAACCACACAGGAAAAAGCAAGGGCAGGAAGTTCTGAAATCCTCTGACATGACTCTGCTTTGAAGGGGCATGGAACAAGATCTCCTGTAGTCACACTCCACCTGCTGGGAACTGAGGGTTATGCTAGCAATACTCACCAAAGGGAAGCAGCTTTCAAAATATAGTATCAAAAGTAAACTTGAGGCACAGTTCTCCAGCTGTGGCCACCAACTTCATATTAATTATAGTTTTCTCACCTTACTCAAAAGTGAATAGTTCTGGTAAAAATTATTGACCATGGAAAAATAACAGTTTATGCTACAAACTTAAGACTAGAATTCGGCCGGGCGCGGTGGTTCACGTCTACAATCCCAGCACTTTGGGAGGCCGAGGCGGGCGGGAGCTCGAGACCAGCCTGACCAACATAGTAAAACCCTGTCTCTACTAAAAATACAAAAACTAGCCGGGTGTGATGGTGTGCACCTGTAGTCGCAGCTACTCGGAAGGCTGAGGCAAGAGAATTGCCCGAACCTGGGAGGCAGAAGTTGCAGTGAGCCGAGATCGCGCCACTGCACTCTGGCCTGAGTGTTAGAGCAAGACTCCATCACAAAAATGAAACAAACAAACAAACAAACAAACTAGAATTCCTACTTTGGAATGGAAAATGCTTGATAAGAATGGGTACAGCATATTTCTTTGAAGACCCCAGTTGACTAGTTCAAGGTAAAAGTTAAATATATTAAAACAATTAAAATGATTCTTTCCTCACCCATGCCGCCATGTGTCTTCCAGGGTTCGTGTGCTGCTGCAGTTCCTTCCCTTTGGGATATTACTTGGATTCCCTTCATTACTCTGAGGCTTAGCTATCCGATATACAAGGCAAAACTAACAATGCTAGCCCTCCTGAAAAGGGCCTCAAGGAACTGCAGATCGATATGACTGCAAAGCCCTTCAGAAATATTTGGACTCGTAAAGCCAAAATCATGAATTCTCTCCATCTTTGCACCTATCTTACTACTTAAAACTTGTATTAGCAAAGTTGTTCTTAGACAAATTTAAATCTAGATGATTTACCTTTGTTACTTTGTCCACTCTCCTTCTGGGATGACAAAGAAGTTCAGGAAAACAGGCATTCCGGGAACAGGACTTGGGGTTATCAGACACCCTGCAGCTAATGTGATAAAGCACCTCAGCATGGTGAAACAGAGGGTTCTCGGAACCGCGAAGGCCAGCTCCAGCTGTTGCTATAAATAGCTAAGCAACTTCTCCATATTTGCCTCACTCCCAAGTAAGTCCTGTTCTCCCCATCTCAATTAGCACTGTCTGAATTCAAGTCTTGCACTATTTCAACAGCCTCCTAACTGGCCCTTCCAAAGGCCTTCCCAAGACATTCTACTAAAAATGCAAATCTGGTTTTATACATACTTCAACTCTAACTTCAATTCAAAGCTTTATCCTAAGGAAATTGATATTGCAATGAAAGCCTATCACAGCACAGTGGCTAAGACCACGAACTCTGGCGCCAGACTGCCTGGGTTCAAATCTCAGTTCCCACATGTCTGGCTGCATGACTGAAGGCAGTTACTTAACATGTTTCTTTTCCCTTGTCTTAAACTTTTCCTTAATTTTTTTGTAATAAGTTTTTTTTTTTATTTTTAGAGGAAGAAAGAGAGAAAGAAAGAAAAAGAATAAAAAAAAAAGAATAAAGGAAAGGAAGAAAGAGGAAGAGGGAGAGAGAACAGGGGTGTTGCTTTATTGCCTGGGCTAGAATGCAGTCTAAAAATGGGTATGCCTGTAATCGTGTTTAATAATAGAGACATAAAAAAAAAAAAATGAGGGAAGAAAATAATTAACAAGCAGCCAACCAATATTTCATTTAAACCTGTAAATATGTGTGATGTAGTACTGATAAGAGTGTATATTTTGTGTATTTAAAGTGGAGAGTTCTATGAATGTTAATTAAATCTACTTGTTCCGGATCAGAGTTCAAGTCCTGAATATCGATGTTAACTTTCTGTCTCATTGATCTGTAAGTCTCCCACTATTATTGTGTGGGAGTCCAAGTCTCTTTGTAAGTCTTATATAACTGGGTATTTCTGTATTGGGTGCATATATATTTAGGATCTTTAGCTCTTCTTGTTACATTGATCCTTTTATCTTTATGTAATATCCTTCTTTGCTTCTTTTGGTCTTTGTTGCTTTGAAGTCTATTTTATCAGCAAAAATTGCAACTCCTGCTTTCTATTTATTTATTTTTGCTCTCCATTTGGTTGGTAAATTTTTCTCCATCCTTTTGTTTTGAGTCTTTGTGTATCCTTGCATGTAAGATGGATCTGGATGTAGCATACCAATGGGTCTTGGCTTTTTTTGCCTGTCTGTGTCTTTGGATTGGGGGATTTAGTCGATTTAAATTTAGAATTAATAACAATATATATGAGTTTGATGCTGTCATTTAATGTTGGCTGGCTGTTTTGCCCATTAATTGATGCGATTTCTTAATTATGTTGATGTTCTTTATTTTTTGGCATTTTTTAGAAAGGCTGATACTGGTTGTTCCTTTCTATTTGTAGTGGTTCTTTCAGAAGCTCTTGTAAAGCAGGCCTGGTGGTGATGAAATCTCTGAGTGCTTGCTTGTTCACAAAAGATTTGATTTTTCCTTCGCTTATGAAGCTTAGTTTGGCTGGATGTAAAATTCTGGGTTGAAAGTTCTTTTCTTTAAGGATGTTAAATATTGGCCCCCACTCTCTTCTGTCTTGTAGGGTTTCTGCTGAGAGATCTGCTGTGAGTCTGACAGGCTTCCCTTTATGGGTAACCTGACCTTTCTCTCTGGCTGCCCTCAGTATTTTCTCTTTCATTTCAACCCTGGTGAATCTGACGATTATGTGCCTTGAGGTTGGTCTTCTTGAGGAATATCTTTGTGGTGTTCTCTGTATTACCTGGAGTTGACTATTGTCCTGCCTTGCTAGGTTGGGAAAGTTTTCCTGAATAATATCCTGAAGCGTATTTTCCAGCTTGGATTGATTCTCTTTGTCACATTCAGGTACACCTATCAATCGTAGATTAGGTCTTTTCACATAGTCCCATATTTCTTGGAGACTTTGCTCGTTCTTTTTTATCCTTTTTTCCCTAATCTTGTCTTTTTATTTCATAAAGTTGGTCTTCCACCTCTAATATCTTTTCTTCTGCTTGATCAATTCGGCTGTTAAAACTTGTGCATAGTTCGCGAAGTTCTCGTGTTGTATTTTTCAGCTCCATTAATTCACTTATATTCCTCTCTAAATTGTGTGTTATTTTTAACATTTCGTCAAACCTTTTTTCAAAGTTCTTAGTTTCATTGCATTGGGTTAAACAAGTTCTTTTAATTGCCAGAAGTTTCTTATCATCCACTTTTTAAAGTCTGCTTCTGCTAATGGAACACAGTCTTTCTCCATCAGGCCTTGTTCTGTTGCTGATGAGGAACTGTGATCCCCTGTAGGGGGAGAGGCGTTCTGAGTCTGGGTATTCTCAGCCTTTTTAGGCTGTTTTCTTCCCTTCTTTATAGATTTATCCATCTGTGGTCTTTATAATCACCGTCTCTATAGTTGGGCTTCTGAATGGACGTCCAACCCATTGATTCCCGGCGCTAGAATCTGAGCAACCCACTGTGCCGGCCAAAACAGCGGCTTTAAGATTGATGGTGCCTTTCTGACTCTGCACCAAGAACCATCGCTCCAAGGCAGCAGCAAAACCGCCTCACCGGCCTCAAGAGTCGCGCTGGCGACACGTGGGGCTCCTCCGCTGGGAATCTCCTGGTGCATGAGCAACAAAAATTGATCTGAAAGTGTGGCGTCCTCTCATTCTCTGCTCTTTCAGTGGGAGCTACAATCCCGAGCTGCTAGTGATCAGCCATCTTGGATCTCTCTCCTTGTAATAGGTTTATTCACATACTGTATAATTCACCTATTTAAAGTGTGCCTTTCAGGCTGGGCATGGTGGTTCACACCTATAATCCCTGCACTTTGGGAGGCTGAGGCAGTTGGATCACCTGAGGTCAGGAGTTTGAGACCAGCCTGGCCAACATGGCAAAACTCTGTCTCTGCTAAAAATGCAAAAAAATTAGCTAGGTGAGGTAGCAGGTGCCTGTAATCTCATTTACTCAAGAGGCTGAGACAGGAGAATCACTTGAACCTGGGAGGTGGAGGTTGCAGTGAGCCGAGGTGACACCATTGCACTCCAGCCTGGGTGACAACAGCAAAACTCCATCGAGAGAGAGAAAGAGAGAGAGAGAGCGCGAGAGAGAGAGAGAGAGAGAGAACATTTCAATGGTTTTCGGTATTTTCAGAGGTGTGCGACCATCACTACAATCAATTTTAGAACATTTTCATCATCCTCCAAAAGAAACCCTGTACTCAGTGGCAGTGAGTACATTTTCCCTGCTCTCCCCAGCCTCTGGCAGCCACTAATCTACTTTTCTATCTCTCCAGATTTGCCTTTTGGACATTTTATGAATAGAGTCATATAATACCTGGTCCCAGTCACTGGCTTCTTTCATTTAGCATAATGCTTTCAAGGATCATCCATGTTACAGCATGAATCAGTGCTTCATTCCTTTTTATGGCTGGATGATATTCCATCATTTGGACAACTCCACAGTTTGTTTATCCATTCAAAAGATGATAGACATTTCGGCTGTTTGCCTTTTTTTGGCTATTATGGATAATGTTACTATGAACATTTGTGTACAGGTTGTTGTGTGGACATATGTGTGTTTTCATTTCTCTTGGGTATACAGCAAGGACTGCAATTCCTGGGTCATGTGGTCGCTCTATGTTTAAGCCTCTGAGGGAACTTCACCTGCTTTTGAAGACTATTTAATGACATGTGAAGATGGTCTCTTCCTTTGATAAAAATACTTAGAAATGTACATACACAGGCCGGGCGCGGTGGCTCAAGCCTGTAATCCCAGCACTTTGGGAGGCCGAGGCGGGTGGATCACGAGGTCAAGAGATCGAGACCATCCTGGTCAACATGGTGAAACCCTGTCTCTACTAAAACTACAAAAAATGAGCTGGGCATGGTGGTGCATGCCTGTAATCCCAGCTACTCAAGAGGCTGAGGCAGGAGAATTGCCTGAACCCAGGAGGCGGAGGTTGTGGTGAGCCGAGATCGCGCCATTGCACTCCAGCCTGGGTAACAAGAGCGAAACTCCGTCTCAAAAAAAAAAGAAATATACATACACATATATGTACCTATGTATATTACAAATATTATATACTTTTGGGTGTATGTCTGTATACAAATACATTTCTGTACTTCCCAAATTTTCTATAAGAAACACAGTTGATTTTATAATCAGGAAGCAAAAAGTGATTTTTTTGCAAATACAACTGTTATTCTCCTGCTTAAAATGCTTCAAAGGCTCCTCATTCCTTACAGGACTTGGCATGAACCTTTATGACCTAGGCCCTTCCTCGTCTCTGCCTTTGTCTATGTCAATAACCTGCTCCAGCAGTATTAAATTATTTAGCTTCCCAGGTACTGTCTCAGTGCCTTTGCACAGGATGTCTCCTCTACCTGTAATTCCCACCCCTCCTCCGTTTGCCTCACAGACTCCCATTTTATTGTTCAAAGCTTCAATTTAGCTAACAGAATTATCTCTTGGCCTTTTCTTTATATCCCTAAAGCCTAGAACAATATTTGGCTCATAGTAGAAGCTTAATGTATTAAAATAAACTGCAAATATTTTCATGTAACAAGGAAAATATTAGAATGTTATTTATAGTTATCTGCTGTATTTTAGCATATGCGTCAAAGCATGTTGAACAGGAGGAAAGGTGACGGTACTTAAAAACTCTAATGCCAATAGCCAATTGTTATCAAGCACTTACTATATACTGGACTGTTACATGTATTAACTCGATCTTCATACTCTTCCTATGAAATAGGTACTATTATTATTAATTTTTTTATTCTTATTTTTTTGAGAGAGGGTCTCACTATGTTGCCCAGGCTGGTGTTCAACGGCACCATCACAGCTCACTGCAGCCTCAACTTCCCGGGATCAGGTGATTTGCCCACCTCAGTCTCCCCCAAATAGCTGGGAATACAGTCACATGGATGCTACCATGCTCGGCTAACTTTCTGTACTTTTTGCAGAGATAGGGTTTCACCATGTTGCCCACACTGGGCTCAAATTGCTGGGCTCAAGCGATCCTCCCGCCTAAGCCTCCCAAAGTGCTGAGATTACAGGCGTGAGCCACGGGGCCCAGTCAGGTACTGTTTTGAATATACTATTATTAATGTAACTAACAAAATTTACCATGTAAATCATTTTGTTTAGATTCTTAACATATTGGCACCCATAACTTTTAAGCTGAGCTACTCTGGGCACACCATGGCGTAGCCCTATTCCACAAAGAGTAGTATTAAAAAAAAATTAAGCTGAGAAATACTTTTTTTTTTTTTTTTTTTTTGAGACGGAGTTTCGCTCTTGTTACCCAGGCTGGAGTGCAGTGGTGTGATCTCAGCTCACCGCAACCTCCGCCTCCTGGGTTCAAGCAATTCTCCTGCCTCAGCCTCCTGAGTAGCTGGGATTACAGGCACGCACCACCATGCCCAGCTAATTTTTTGTATTTTTAGTAGAGACAGGGTTTCACCATGTTGACCAGGATGGTCTCGATCTCTTGACCTCGTGATCCACCCGCCTCGGCCCCCCAAAGTGCTGGGATTACAGGCTTGAGCCACCGCGCCCGGCGAGAAATACTTTTTTAAATCATGTTCAAATAATTATAAGCCAAGCTAGGAAAGTTCTAATTTCATTGAAAATCACTGCATATGGAACCCAAGGAAGAAAAAGGACTGGATATGCAAACATTGTGGTATGTAGGTAAAGAGAAGAATTTAAACAAAAGCCTTAAGGATATAAAAGCAGAGAGGAGAGCTGTAGATCAGTCTGTCTGGCTGAGGCCAACTGAGGAATCTGAATCCAGGCAACAGGGAAAGCTTAGGGAGCTCAAGTAGAAACATGGCATGGAATCCTAGCGACAGAAAACTTCAGTTAGGCCAAGAAAGTCAAATGCTTTGGAGTTAGAAAGGAAGCAGAAGGTATTATGTGGCAAAGTAGCCTAAATTTTTCATGAAATTAAACAAAACAATCACCAATTTTATAATTCAAAACATTATGTTCTTGTTATGAAATAACTTTGGATACATTTTTATTCCAAATAAAAGGAGATATGTGTCTTTAAAGACTAATGACCTTTGGGAAATTAGTCTCCCATGGGTTGGGTGACCTAATATTCTGCTCTTCCTGAAACAGGCTCTATTTACACCTGTCACCCTGGAACTCTGTCCAGTTAGTGCCCCTTTTTACTCTTGAAAGTGTCCCAGTTTGAACTGGACTGTGGTGATGCTGTACAAATCTGTACATTTGCCAAAAGGCATTAAATTGTACACTTACCATGGGTAGATTTTACAGTATGTAAATTACACTTCAATAAAGTTATTTAAAAAGAAGTCCCAATTTGAATGACAAGTTAGTTGGTCACCCAATCCATATGCCATGGCCTGAAGGCCTTGAAAGTGGTTAAGTGACCTTCTAGAAATGGACAATTATCCCAAGGAGTTCTTTTATAAGAAGACAAACTTTCTCTTCTACCAAGACAGCTTCTTGCCACATGATATCAAAATAAGACCTAACAGGAAAGACAATCTCAGAGATCCAATGACATAGAAGTTGATCTCTACATGACCTGCCTCTAATGATTCATTCACCTTGTAAATATGAAAGTCACACTATTAATTAACCCTATTTCATGAGGCTACCTAAGCCAGTGTGCTACTCTAAATAAAATCTGCTCTAAAACGATAGGGGGTCTCTATTTGCTCCAAAAGGATACATATATTGTTAAGAGCTTTGGCGTGTTGCTGGCTTTAAATATTAAAGCTAGAAACTTCTCCAACTTCACCTTTAACTCTGGAGTCCAGGAATCCTAAAGAAAAAGGCAAAGGAACAAAAATGCAAACATTAGATTACTAAGTACCAATGGTGTCATCAAGTTGAAGTCATTAGGCTACAAAACCCTGCACAGTGATTGAAACCAAAAGCAAAGTGTCTTGTCAGTGATGTGAGGCTGTGAAAAACAGGGTTTAGGACATCTGACCATTCATTTACAGAAGATTCAAGTGCTCACAGCAGGAAGAAAAAATAGAGTTCTTTCATAAACAGAGAATAAATAACCCTGAACATGATTTGAATATTTCATGTGATTTAAACACAATTGTGACAAGGAACATTATTAGGTTGAATCCAAAAATAGTTCAGCACAGTCTAGGTATGCACAGCACTGGGAGGCCTAACATAAACAATTCTAACCAAGTTACTGAGTTTCCCCAAGAAAGGGACTCATTTCCACAAACCTCGTCTAGATAAGAAGAAAGGACAGAGCTATTTTTTTGCCACAAATACCCCATCATGTGAAGAATTATGATATATTCTTACCTTGATTTGTCCTTTAAAAATAAATTCTTTATCTCAAATAATGCTCATTAAGAAAAAATTAACGACTTAAACAAAATAAGAAAAAATACAAGTAACAATCTTTGTCTCAGGACAATTTTCCTTGCAGTCTTTATACAGAAATATCTTCTATCCAAACCAAGAAGTTCCACAAAAAAGTAACTAAACCACTAAAAATTCATATCCACTGTTCTCTCAGCTGCTGCCCCGTGGCCCACAGACCTTTCCATCCTTCCCCACCGTCTCTGCCTCTCCAGCTCTGTGTCCTCCCCTACATCTCCCACCCCACCCAATCATTCTAGCCAGTATGTCATCTGACTTCTGGAAAAAATGCTGCCAGTTGAGCAGAAAGTTCTTTTTTTTTTTTTTTGAGATGGAGTCTTGCATTGTCACCCAGGCTGGAGTGCAGTGGCGCGATCTTGCCTCACTGCAACCTCTGCCTCCCAGGTTGAAGTAATTCTCCTGCCTCAGCCTCTTGAGTAGCTGGGATTACAGGTGAGTGCCACCACGCCTGGCTAGTTTTTACATTTTCTGGTAGAGATGGGGTTTCACCATGTTGGCGAGGCTGGTCAAGAACTCCTGATCTCAAGTGATCCACCTGCCTTGGCCTTCCAAAGTGCTGGGATTACAGGCATGAGCCACTGTGCCCAACCAGAGAGTTCTTACATTTAAAAAAAAAATTGTAGGCCGGGCGCGGTGGCTCAAGCCTATAATCCCAGCACTTTGGGAGGCCGAGGCGGGTGGATCACGAGGTCAAGAGATCGAGACCATCCTGGTCAACATGGTGAAACCCCGTCTCTACTAAAAATACAAAACATTAGCTGGG